ACAGGGAAACACAGTGGCCCTGAAGGACGGAACAGCGCCAAAATCGAGCCCAAAAACTGCCTAACGTCCCTTCTGAAACCCTAGAAAAACAATAGTTTTCGACCATCTTTTGTACCGCTGTTTGTACAATGAGACATAGTGAGACATAGAACCCTCCTGCTGCTCCTCCTGCTGCTGCTCTTCCTCCCGAAGCTGAAAACGCACGCTGCCGGACAGGGAAACACAGTGGCCCTGAAGGACGGAACAGCGCCAAAATCGAGCCCAAAAAATGCCTAACGTCCCTTCTGAAACCCTAGAAAAACAATAGTTTTCGACCAGTTTTTGTACCGCTGTTTGTATATTAATGAGACATAGTGAGACATAGAACCCTCCTGCTGCTCCTGTTACACAGTCCCTGGAAAGGACTGGAAGGGCGCCAAAATCGAGCCCAAAAACTGCCTAACGTCCCTTCTGAAACCCTTGAAAAACAATAGTTTTCGACCATTTTTTGTACCGCTGTTTGTACAATGAGACATAGTGAGACATAGAACCCTCCTGCTGCTCCTGTTGCTGCTGCTGCTCTTCCTCCCGAAGCTGAAAACGCACGCTGCCGGACAGGGAAACACAGTGGCCCTGAAGGACGGAACGGCGCCAAAATCGAGCCCCAAAACTGCCTAACGTCCCTTCTGAAACCCTAGAAAAACAATAGTTTTCGACCATTTTTGGTACCGCTGTTTGTACAAAGAGATATAGTGAGACATAGAACCCTCCTGCTGCTCCTGTTGCTGCTGCTGCTCTTCCTCCCGAAGCTGAAAACGCACGCTGCCGGACAGGGAAACACAGTGGCCCTGAAGGACGGAACAGCGCCAAAATCGAACCCAAAAACTGCCTAACGTCCCTTCTGAAACCCTAGAAAAACAATAGTTTTCGACCAGTTTTTGTACCGCTGTTTGCACAATGAGACATAGTGAGACATAGAACCCTCCTGCTGCTCCTGTTACACAGTGGCCCTGAAGGACGGAACGGCGCCAAAATCGAGCCCAAAAACTGCCTAACGTCCCTTCTGAAACCCTAGAAAAACAATAGTTTTCGACCATTTTTTGTACCGCTGTTTGTACAATGAGACATAGTGAGACATAGAACCCTCCTGCTGTTGCTGTTGCTGCTGCTGCTCTTCCTCCCGAAGCTGAAAACGCACGCTGCTGGACAGGGAAACACAGTGGCCTGAGACGGAACGGCGCCAAAATCGAGCCCCAAAACTGCCTAACGTCCCTTCTGAAACCCTAGAAAAACAATAGTTTTCGACCATTTTTTGTACCGCTGTTTGTACAATGAGACATAGTGAGACAAGAACCCTCCTGCTGCTCCTGTTGCTGCTGCTGCTCTTCCTCCCGAAGCTGAAAACGCACGCTGCCGGACAGGGACAGGGAAACAGGCGCCAAAATCGAGCCCCAAAACTGCCTAACGTCCCTTCTGAAACCCTAGAAAAACAATAGTTTTCGACCATCTTTTGTACCGCTGTTTGTACAATGAGACATAGTGAGACATAGAACCCTCCTGCTGCTCCTGTTGCTGCTGCTGCTCTTCCTCCCGAAGCTGAAAACGCACGCTGCCGGACAGGGAAACACAGTGGCCCTGAAGGACGGAACAGCGCCAAAATCGAGCCCAAAAACTGCCTAACGTCCCTTCTGAAACCCTAGAAAAACAATAGTTTTCGACTATTTTTTGTACGCTGTTTGTACAATGCAGACATAGTGAGACATAGAACCCTCCTGCTGCTCCTGCTCCTGCTGCTCTTCCTCCCGAAGCTGAAAACGCACGCTGCCGGACAGGGAAACACAGTGGCCCTGAAAGACGGAACGGCGCCAAAATCGAGCCCCAAAACTGCCTAACGTCCCTTCTGAAACCCTAGAAAAACAATAGTTTTCGACCAGTTTTTGTACCGCTGTTTGTACAATGAGACATAGTGAGACATAGAACCCTCCTGCTGCTCCTGTTGCTGCTGCTGCTCTTCCTCCCGAAGCTGAAAAAGCACGCTGCCGGACAGGGAAACACAGTGGCCCTGAAGTACGGAACGCCAAAATCGAGCCCAAAAACTGCCTAACGTCCCTTCTGAAACCCTAGAAAAACAATAGTTTTCGACCAGTTTTTGTACCGCTGTTTGCACAATGAGACATAGTGAGACAGAGAACCCTCCTGCTGCTCCTGTTGCTGCTGCTGCTCTTCCTCCCGAAGCTGAAAACGTACGCTGCCGGACAGGGAAACACAGTGGCCCTGAAAGACGGAACGGTGCCAAAATCGAGCCCCAAAACTGCCTAACGTCCCTTCTGAAACCCTAGAAAAACAATGGTTTTCGACCATTTTTTGTACCGCTGTTTGTACAATGAGATATAGTGAGACATAGAACCCTCCTGCTGCTCCTGTTGCTGCTGCTGCTCTTCCTCCCGAAGCTGAAAACGCACGCTGCCGGACAGGGAAACACAGTGGCCCTGAAGGACGGAACGGCGCCAAAATCGAGCCCCAAAACTGCCTAACGTCCCTTCTGAAACCCTAGAAAAACAATAGTTTTCGACTATTTTTTGTACCGCTGTTTGTACAATGAGACATAGTGAGACATAGAACCCTCCTGCTGCTCCTGTTGCTGCTGCTGCTCTTCCTCCCGAAGCTGAAAACGCACACTGCCGGACAGGGAAACAAACACAGTGGCCCTGAAGGACGGAACAGCGCCAAAATCGAGCCCAAAAACTGCCTAACGCCCCTTCTGAAACCCTAGAAAAACAATAGTTTTCGACCATTTTTTGTACCGCTGTTTGTACATTAATGAGACATAGTGAGACATAGAACCCTCCTGCTGCTCCTGTTGCTGCTGCTGCTCTTCCTCCCGAAGCTGAAAACGCACGCTGCCGGACAGGGAAACACAGTGGCCCTGAAGGACGGAACGGTGCCAAAATCGAGCCCCAAAACTGCCTAACGTCCCTTCTGAAACCCATAGAAAATGATGCTTTTGGCTCCTTTTTCCTCTTGCTGCTGCCATGAATTTTAGCTACCTTTACATCCGGTCCCCAAATAGGAAAAGACAATGAAAAAAATCACCTCCCGGGGGCGAAACACCATGCCTCTGAAGGACGGAGAAGCTCCAAAATTGCACCCCGAAAATGCCTAACGTGACTTCTGAAACCCATAAAAAATGATGCTTTTGGCTCCTTTTTCCTCTTGCTGCTGCCATGAATTTTAGCTACCTTTACATCCGGTCCCCAAATAGGAAAACACCATGGAAAAAATCACCTCCCGGGGGCGAAACACCATGCCTCTGAAGGACAGAGAAGCCCCAAAATTGCACCCCGAAAATGCCTAACGTGGCTTCTGAAACCCATAGACAATGATGCTTTTGGCTCCTTTTTCCTCTTGCTGCTGCCATGAACAGTAGCTACCTAAACATCCGGTCCCCAAATAGGAAAACACCATGGAAAAAATCACCTCCCGGGGGCGAAACACCATGCCTCTGAAGGACGGAGAAGCCCCAAAATTGCACCCCCAAAATGCCTAAGGTAACTTCTGAAACCCATAGAAAATGATGATTTTGGCGGTTTTTTCCTCTTGCTGGTGCTATGAATATGAAGTTTGGCTACCTTTAAATAGTAGTAGTAGTAGTAGTAGTATTAGTAGTAGTAGTAGTAGTCCGAAACAAGAGTCAAAAGTATTATTCCCTGGCGCGCTCCCCCTTGCGTCTGCCGGGGTCGGCGGATATCAGCAATATCTCCTGCGTTAGTTTCCTTCACTTGGTGGGTCAGGAATCCCTTGCGGAACGCGAGATGTTTCAAAGTTTGAGAAGCCCCCAGGGCAGCCCTAACTCCTTTGCTGATGCTGGATTTCCATCGCCACGCCGCAGGAAGATGACAAGATTAGCTACCGAGCACGAAAATCTGTGTTGGAGGATGAGAGGAAAATCTCCCAAGGCACCGAGAGTGAAATCATATTTGACCCTCAAGATGACCATAACGGAAGTGGCCATTTCTGCCTCCATAGGCTAGGTTGCCATGTTGGGCACTTATGACTGTGACAAAGAGTTCTGGATTTCAAGGCAGAACAGCTGTCAACTGAAATTCAACAAGGTGAACGGATTGTCATGGAATAGCCTCATTTTGCCTACAACCAGCTGGCGCTGGTGATCTCTCAAATCGTCAGGTATGCTGACAGACTTGAACTATTGTGTTGAAGCAGTTCAGAGATTTAAGGCCGGAGCTGCATGTCCCGTTGTCCTTTGCTGTGTGGTCTAGACTGTCTAGACTTGGAGTGACTTGCCTGCCTCTGTGTTGGTGGCAGGTGACCTATGGTGGCGGTCAATAGGTACCAGTACCCCACTGCTGGCGTCTCACCTCATTTTCCTCATCCACTGCCTCAACACTACCATACATCCAAACAAAAACAATCATGTCGCAATCGGAGCTGTTGGAACTATGTTGTGCGTCTCAGAGGCACCCGTCTCTTGCCAGTTTAAAAGCATTTGTCGATGGGCACTCTGAATGATAATGGACAGGTCTATAATTTGTAAAGTGTAACTTGTGTCCAGTGGGTACCCCTGCAACCAATCGAAAGGGCCATCTCAAGCTTGGCACAGATGCTTGACAGCGCGTGTAACTTGGACTTCGCGCGGAGTCCGCTGAGAGCCCCGCAAGATCCATTGATTAGGAGGAAAAGGTCAGGGAAGTTTCAGCAGAAACAGCTTGGCTTTGCCACAAAGCGGTCAGTAGATTCCAATCAGCCGGGTGCAAGTGCATTCACAGAGAGTTGGACTAGACAGATAGGCTCAAGCAGAGATCAGGAGGTCAGGCACCACATTTACAGATGGTGGGACTATCAAGCCCCAGGCACTGAATGATAACATTATCAAAGGCAATTAATGTTCACGTGCTCAGCTTTGAGTTCAGCATTTCAAGTTGGCCCAAAAGCAATCATTAAGTTGGATTCCCACTGGATCTTCAATTGCAGATGCTTGGGGAACTCGTCATGACCAGAGTCAGGGTCACTTCAGTGTGAAACAGCGGCGCATCAACTGGCCTCCAAGCCATGCCCCTCCTTGATGCTTTGCAGCTGGCTATTCCTTCTTTTCCAGCCACTACGTGCGCAGAGGAATCCCAAGCCAGACATGTGGCTGCCATTTGTTGGTAATCTTTTTGACAGTATTCAGGACCAAGATATTGCAAGACTTTGTGAAGTGGCAGGTTCAACGACAAACTCTGTCAAACTGATTCATTCTGCCCGAAAGGAAGCTTTGATAATGGGTATGGGTCAAGATTGGGTACCCCTTTTTTTTCCGCCCGTGACTTTAGTGCTGCGTGGCAGGTAGAGACAACCAGCTATGCGTGCAATCCCCACCAATGATTGTGATCATGAATTAAAATACCAAAGAAGCACAAAACAACAAATTCAGGGGTGACGAGACAGAAATTGGATGATTAATACTAATACTGAAGATGTTCCATAAATTTCTATAAAGCCCAAACATCTCTGGTGCCCCAAGGCCTCAATTTTTGAGCCACTACCATAGTTCAACAAGATGTCGCGTTGCCAGGCAACTTCTTGGCCGCGGCTTGGATTCAGGACTTGCTCTAACTTCCTGCGAGACCTCAGAGGCGATGTTGTGAGAGATGGAGAATCATGATGAATTTCATGAATCCTCAAAAATCTTCATGAGCATTTGAAGATGTGGACATTTTGTTGACATTTTGTTCTGAAAGTAATCAGTTTCTTGTTTCAAGGAGCTCTTATATAATCGTTCGTTGGGTTTGAGAATCCTGAGGATCTTCAGCTCTGGGTGGATTGGTCCCTCAGACCACCAGGTTGGAGCCGCAGGCGGTTCTATGCTACTCCACCCTAATCATGTATACCGTATACAATGTATCCATAACTTATCCATAACTTATCCGTAACTTGTCCATAACTTATCCATATGTATTCATTGTATCCATGTGTCGAGATTGTTCACCTGTTTTGGATTTGGCAATGACACTTTGAGTTGACACTTTCATTACCTCATGCCTTAGCCATCTCTAGCCTCATTTCGCCCTGCAATGATTACCCGCTGTTGATGGAAAAGAGTGCATTCTCCGCCAGCACCTTGCGTTTTGTTTATGCATTGAACCCTTTATCGATCTATGGCATCCATCCATAATCCAGCATACATGTATATCTTCCAGCATCTCAAACTTGTTCATCCACTATCATCCATCATGTGTCCATCAGTTGTCAAGTCGTCCATGATTTGTCCAGTTTCTATTTTCCATCCATTTCTTGTTGACATCTGTGCCTGTTTCATTGCTTTCTCCATGAATGAACTCCTTTTCCAAGGCCGCGCCCAGCTGTTGGGTGTTCAGGTCTTCTCAGAAGTGGAGGACACGTCAATGAAGATGTGACGACTGTGACGACTGTGACGACTACTTCAACATAACAAACATAACATAGCCAATTTTTCTGTGGCTCCGCCGGGCATCAATTTTTGGACTGCCTAAATATTTTTGCCTATGAACTTCTTTTGTTCTGCTTTTGGCTGTAACTGTGATCCGAGGAGGACGTTGTCTTAATCGCACAGCTTCAAAGGCATGGCGATCTGCTGACGCTGAAGGACTGCTTCGAGAAACATGGCCCCTCAAACCCTTCTCGAACGTGTTTCCTTGGTCTTCAAGGTCTCCATGTCCTCTCTGGGCCTCCTCTGATCAGGATGTCCGTCAAGTGGCCTTGCATGAGAAGTCTGACAGTCTCCAGGCAGTCTCGATGCGTGAAAGCTTGAGATGGAGTCAGCACTGTGGACCTGTCATTGTTTGTCCAAAAATGGGGTACATCTAAAATCCAGCGGTGCATCATATTTTATCATCATGTCCTCTTGAAATAGCATTCAGTTTTGGATCTTTTTTTGGGGATCCATTGATTTAGGGACAAACGCCATATCCCTGTGGCATGTTTCCAAAACCATAAAAGAAGCATTGGAATCTTCGAAGAAACTCCTGCAGGGCTTGCTCGGCCAACGCATCCTGTACGGCAGCATCGATTTTGTTGGGGTCTCAATGTCTAGGGTTTGCCCAGAAATGGAGCATATCACAGCATGTTTGTAGCAATTCTAATGGAAACATGATGAAAAACTATTGGATTCTGGGGTACTCGTAGCCTGGAGACAAAGCCAATTTTGTATTTTGAGAGTTGGTGCTGCAGCAATCCGCAGCAGAAATGGAGGCCATGGATGATAAAGATCTACTTGGTATGATACATTCCTGCCACAGTTGGAGCCTGAGTGAAGCAACACTTCCGGAATCGTTTGGCTTAAAATCGTTCTGCTGAGGCAGAAGTCCTTCAAGTGACCCAGTCCAACCTGAGCAGCGGCAGGCTTTAGCATTTACGCTTGAGGCCAGGTTTTGTTTATTGCGATGGGTTTGCCTCCTTTCGAGTTCGAGTTCGCCCACTTCTCAGGGGGAGCTGCAGCCAGGATACCAGGTGGGCATTGGCAATGTTGGCGTTGCCCGCGTTGCCCCTTTCAACCTATTCACCAGATTTCACCAGCATTGTGGTGCAAGATTTGATAGGTCCAGTTGTCGCAGTCCGATTGGGTAATGCCCTTGGCCTGGGACATCGACTCAGAGCTGGAAGACGTGCAACATGTCATAAGCTTCCAACGCTTGGAACTCTGATGACTTTCTGGGGCCCAGGCATTCTCCTTTGAAGTGATCGAAGGCGCATCCTGTTTCGCAGATCCGAGTTGCTGGCGGGGTGGACACGTTGCTGAGGAACAGCTGCTGCACGAGCAGGCAGGGTCCTAGCATGCCGTGAAGCTTGGACCGAACATGACAACACCATGCAACACGTCCTTTCGCCATCTTCGGCCATGATCGGCACAGGAGGCGCAATTCAGATTTTGGCGCGGGTGTTGAAGGAGGTTCCCTGGCACAAAATGCAAATTGGGCGTTTCCGAGTTTCCGCAAAGTTGCAGAACCTCACATTTTTAGCACAGGGAAAACTGTTATTGTTGAAGCTTTTCCCCCTTTCTTGGACCTCTTTGGTAAGGAAAACGGCCTTGAGAGGCAAAGTGCTTCAACGAGGATGCCTTGCTGAAGAACCTTCGCAGTCTATCTGCTTGCACATGGGTGTCGCTCCCTCAGGTCTCCAGCTCTGCCCAGTTTCATTCAGCACTTTCTGAGTTTCGTCACAACATGCGGCCGCTGGACACCTTGCCATTTTCAGAGAACATCAGAGACAGAAAAATGCCCCCCCCAGTGACATCATTGCAACTTAGATTCTATATTAATCATTATATATTATATAGATATCATTAGTCTATGTCTATATCCATGAAACACGATTGAACATGCTTCCCCCATGGCCTGGAGCTGTTGCTCCTGTGTTCGCCCTGACGTGGAAGCTGATGGAAGTGCACCCAGCTGTGTTGTGCCTTGGTGTTACGATGTGTTACGGCTAGATAGAAACTTGGAACCACTGGGACAATTCTGAGTGATTCTGGTTCCCAGGTGTTCAGTTTTGCATTGGAAGTATGTTCGAGCATTAAAATCCATAGTCTCTGCATATCTTGGCAACATTGGCATTGGCATTGCAGCCAAAAGTCTCACCAAGATAAGTATTGTCAAAGTGACCTTTGACAGCATGACATGGGCGCATTGCGTCAAGAAGTTGTTCTTTGGGCAAACTCACCTTAGTTGAATGGAATCTCAAGTGTACGGGGACCAGCATGAGGCATGGAATGGTTGAATCCAAGGACCCAATTTCAAGCTCACAAGATCCCAAGCGCTTCGAATTGCAGAAGCTGGTGTGCGACTTCGACGCTTGGCAGTTATTGATGAGGGTGGGTGAAGATTTTGAGTGGAGCAAGCAAAGAGCACGAACGTGGTTCTTCTTTCTGCTTCACTGAGGTGCGAGAGGCTTCGAATGGAGGCAAGGAAGGGGCAGGGTGGGTGCGGGCAAGATACTGGACACGATCAGAGTCATTTGGGCCTCTCATGAGGGTTCCAGACCATTGGTGAATGCTCAGGGATGGTCTTGTGACAGACAAAGAAGTGGAATTAGATGTATATAGGCTTAATTTCTGTTTATTGAGCAGTGGCAAAAACCCTAATGCTGGCTCTTGACTCTTGAGTCATTGAGGACCATCCAAAGATCTCTGGCGATTTTATCTTCTACACTTCAAGGTTCTATATGTTCTATCAAGCAATTGTCAAGAGTAGAGGGGAGCCAAATGAAGCAAGAATGTGTATTGCATGTCAATGCGCAGGGTTTTTTCAAGCACATGAACAGCATTCAAAAGCTCTGCTGGTTGATTAGTTCGGTAGTCCCTGTATCACCCAGGCCAGCACTGCGAAGCCATGAAAGTTGGTGGTTCATCTGGCCTTCAGACTGTGCAATACCAGCTGGATAGAAGCGCAACGAAATTGGCCTCCTGACAGATTTCAGATGGTTGGGCAATCTATTTTCTGCTTGGGCAATTTGTGTGGTTCCTCTGCCTCCAGTTATGTGGTTAGATTTTGGGTGGACCAATCTTAAAATTGTTGCTAGTGAAACTATTCCAACAGAAAGGTGTGTTTCGTTACTTGTTGGATTTCACTATCGCTCAAAAGTGCTTTGGGCTTAAACTTACACTGTTGCGAAGAGGCTGCGTCGGAAACCGGTATTCGAAGTGGGCGCTTCCCAACACAACGACTTCAATACGACTGTGCGACTGATGTCCAATTTTGCAAGTTGTCCAGTGTTGGCCCATAGCCATAGCTGCCATCGCCCATGTCAGGAGTTGAAGGATATCTCCACGAGTGGTGTCTTGATCTGCTGGAACGTCAATGACATCCTGCTGCGTAAGGGTGAAGATGCCGACACTTGGCCACACACGGCCACCTTAACGGCTGCCACCTTGGCCCAGTCGCTAGAAATCAGCGTTGGCGGCCACGGCAGTTGGTGTCTTGTGGCCAAGAATCAAAAGGAAAGAGATCGCTTCGTCTGCGCCATCCAGATCCTGCAACTCTACCACAGTCTGCAGAATCAGCTTGCAACAAACTTTTCCACTCCAAAGAAGAGTGAGATGGAGGGTTACGGCGAAGGCGGCTTGTTGCGGCGGGGCGCTCAACAATTTGTGACCAAACTGTGAAGCACAGCCAAACTACAGGGGTTCAGAATTCCTTCAGAACGTTTTCAGAACGCTTCTGCACTTCCTATGTCGCAAAAGTCTCCTGGCACTAAGGCCGCCAACAACCAGTCCAGCTACGTCATTGGTGTCTCCCTTCGCTCGCAAAGCACCTGCGCCACCTCCGACTCCACAGAAGTTGGAATTTTCAGAGAATGCCGCGGCTGGCTTGTAGTCATGGCGACTAATATGGCAACAGAGACTTTGGAGAAGCTTCTCAAAGCACTTGGACATGGCCAACTGGTTTCGCCTGTGATGTTTCTACTTCAAGCCTGTGGCGCTAAATAAGAGCGGGCAAGGCTCACTGCAAGAAGCAGGCTTGCAAAATGCTATGCTGCCGCAGTGCGAATTGTGAATGATGCGATCGTCAGCATGCTCCAATTGAGTGAAGTGAAGATGTTGCAGCCCAGAGAAATACATTCCCAAAACTGACTGCTTCTTCATTCTTTGTCAGTTTTCAGACTGGCTAAAAGCTTTGTGGTTCCATTTCAATATTGGGGGGCTTCTACCAATGGCAAGGTTAAAATCATTGAGTGGGTGGTGTCTTGTGCGTTGTAACGGCTGAGGCGCTCCTACCCCACCTACATTCTCCACACAGGGTTGAATCCTTAGCTACAAAATTGATACTCCAAGTTCATTGAAGCAAAGTCCTGAGATGTCCTGAGGAAAATGGAAGGTGCAGATGATCAGCAACTGCTCTCATGGATGGACGGCATCCGCTCTACTGCAGGTCTGTACCCTGATCGGGTCAGGAAGGCACTGCACGAGGTGAAATTATTGTTCAAGGTCATTGCGGATCCCCAGCAATGCTAAGATGAGGGGGTTACCTGCGCATCATCCTTTTCTGTTTGACTCGTTTGTTTTCTCAGTATGTCATGGGTGCGTCCTCGAAGCCCGTCTGAGGCATAGATCTGCGATTCCTGGATGTATCTGAGGACTTCGAGCGGGTGGAGGTCGGGGATTCCAAGGCTGGGGATCCCAAGCTCAGTGGATCTCACTGCTAAGAAGGAGAACTGGAATGAACTGGATATGCTGTCCTGTCAGGTCAAGCTTGACGAGCATGACTTGTACCGGGCTTGGTGAAGCCCAGAAGTCAACTTACTTAGATGGGTGATGTCGAACGTTGTTTGGGTTGTCCACCCCTCTCTTTGTCACTTCGTTGTCGAAAAACTTTGGAATGCGCCCAATTCATCAGGATTCGGAGGCACTTATTCTGAGTTGGAGTTCATCCTGTGACACAACATTCCGTTGTTTTTGTTGCGATTAAATATGGATTCCATAAAAGGGGGTACCCCAATATTGCCAATAGCTTTATAATCTATGGAGAATCCTATTGAAATGCATGATCTGGGGGAATGTTTCAGGAAACCTGAGGCTGTGGCTCGACTCCACTTTGTCCAACTCTCCGGAGATTCGCAAGACAAGACCGAGGCGTCATCAGGCACACAAGTCGAGGCGTCTAGGGATGGATAGATCATGATAGATCTGTTATGATCCGTTTAATCTATTCAGATATGATTATATAGATATATTAAACATATAATTATATATATATAATATATATTAATATAGAATATACATATATGTTTAGATAGTTTAGATATCATAACGTCTAAGTGGAGTTGCTCCGTGGCTTGAGACGGCCAAGCAAGTGGCTTTGCCCAGGCCGGATACCGCCATATGTGTAGATTCCAGACTTCAACTGTCCTGCAATTGCCAGCGTTCCAGCAAATGTCACAGCCCCAGTCGAAGAGATTTAACAGGAGATGTTGATTCTTCATATGGTCATTTGGTTTTGAGTTGATTTGGGGAGCCTTTCCAGTCTCACAAATGAAAGTTTTGGTACCTTGCCAAGACTTGGAGGCGATATTTGCTCCATCTCGACTCTGATGCCACTTTCCGTTGTGAAGGCACAACCCATGAGACTGACATTCTCCAGATTTCACACGTGTTGGGCACCATCTGATTTCTCCCAAGTCGCAACACACAATGAAGGATCGCGGTCTTTGGATCCCTTCAAGGACTGAGCAAAACTTTATGCGGCCAATTTCCAGCAGCAATATGATGCTGTTCAGGGGGATCCTGGATACATATCTTTGGCATTCTTTGGCCAAGTTGCTTTCATTTTCATAGGAGATGGCCCGGAGAGACTATGTCTATGGGTCGAGTTCCTCGATCTTGGGGATAAACGTGATTTGATTTGTGTCACAGTGACAGTGACTCAGCAGACTCAGCACTTTGCATGTTTGCAATGCAGTTGCAGAGTGACTTCAGATGGACTGAGGCTTTTCGAGGTTGGGCTGGAAGATCCTGGATGTACGATTGGGCAGCGACCTGAGTGCCGATGAGTAGGCAGCTTGCATTGATATCATCTGAATTTGGCAAACCCCTTGACCGACCATGCCGCGAAAAAATGTTCAATTTCAAGGGACAGTCAATGGACTCTGAAAAGGTGGTCAAACTTCTTGAAGGAGTCCGTAGCTCAGATTAGCTCAGGGCCAAGGCTGGTGGGAACCATAAGCAGATCGGCAGTTGATTCAGGTGGGTTCTCCTAAATGATCTCGAGCAGAGGCCTCAGTGAAGGGCCAAACTTGTTGCAGGGAGATTCCCCACTGTGTTGGCACATGTTGGCACAAGCTGAAGCCCAAGTCGATCCAGGCACTTATTTTCTCTGATTCCCCAGCTGAGACTTCCAAATCCTGCAGCTGCTCTTTCAACGGCGGGCAAAAACATCAGTCAACTGGCCAGAGCGTCAGAGAACAGGCGGTACGACAGAGATCACAGAGGTGTGGGGTTAATTGAGGACACCAGCAACGACACTGAGAAGATGGTTGAAGTTTCCTTGGACTCCCTGTCTCTTACATGGGGAACCGCTTGGGAGGCCAGTCATATGAGTTTTGTCACCCAAAAGCTGGGGTTGCGGGTTGCAGGATTCCGTCAGGTACTGGACCTCGACTTCTTCACCTCAGCTGAAGTGATGCACTTCACAAAACGGGCATCGCCTGGCTCGTTTGTTTTACACGGCCGCCAGGGAAGCTGTTGCATCATGTCGCATCCTGTTGGCAGGTGGAGGGAACCTTAGGGCATTACAGGTTGGATCCTCAGTGATCTCGGACTGTCAAGAGGGTTGAAAAGCTTCCGCCATTGACGAGAGGTACCTTTGGGGCGACCATTTAATACGTGCCTATCAGGCAGGTGTCTTTATGCTGCGATCATATTCAAGTCTATAAATTATTCCAAACTACTAGGGTGGGAACATGGGAAACAATTGTATAGTATCATTTTGATTCATTTTGGTGATCGTATTTTAGTATGTTGAATCTTGTCTGTCTGTCTGTCAGTCAGTCAATCGTTCTATCTATCCTATATATATATATATATCTATATATATATATAAAAAATACATATCATATCATGATCCCATCCCTCTGTTTGGTGATCATAAGTAAATGTAAAATGATCCCACCCCGCTTTTATCAAATACATGGCTTCGCAAAATGAATAGATCCAAGACTAAACCAGGGTTCCCAGGGTACTATATTCGGGAGAATGGATGTATGTCTCAGACATTGTATTTGTACAGCATACTTGTAAATATATATATAATTATATACATTAATATATATTCCTGATATATGTATATGTATATGTATATATGTATATATATATCATGTTGTGTGACCTATACAGACATGTTTCTTCAGATGTCATAGCCAAGTCTGGTCCCAGTTCACTCGCTGGCCAGGTCTTACTCTATGCTCCGTTGGAACGTGTGCGTTGCTTTGATTCCGACGAGTTGCCTGGAAGGCGCAACAGCGGCAACAGCGGCCACAGCGGCCACCAGGCTGTGAGTACACAATGGATACTGTAACTGCAATAACTAGATAAATTTGTGCCAATAAGTATACATGACTTACATGACATAATGTACACATGTATAGTTTCGGTAAACTAAGTAACATCTCAACTTTGTGCCACATATGATCTTACACATGTACATTCCTGCTACTAGGGTTTTGACCCGTGGCGATAGATTTACTTTCTGAAGCAGTAATTATTGATATCCCTTGAGGGTTTCAGCACTGCCGCAGTCATGGATGCTCGGGCGACAACCAGTTTGACTCGGAGGCAGCTGGTCCCCTGAAACGCCCGTCCTCTTGGGGCATAGTAACCATGGTAGCTGGTTTTTGCCAGGACGCGGAGGGCGAATGGCACAACGTCTATGGCGTGGTGGATGATATCAGTTGACGTTGACTCAGATATTTTCACATCGCTCCATTTGGGATCCACTTGGGATTTGCTTGGGATTGAAGATATTGAACCTGGCTGAAGATTTGGGTTTTCAGGTCCCCATTTGTGGATTGAAAGTGGTCTGAAGGGCCAAAAACTCAGGACAACAGCGCAGTTTTTTGTTGCGAAGCTGCACAGCTGAGGTGTTGAGTGGCTTGGGGGACCTGGAAGCGGGACTGAAATGATTTGAGTGCTGTGAGTCTCTAAGTAAAGAGTAGACTCGAACAGCTATACCAGGGGGAACCCTAAAAACGACAAACTGAATTCCATCTATCTAAAGTCTATTCCACTGAGAATCTACCATTTTTGAGTCGTTTTGCTTCACGCATTCCGGCAGGACTTCTCCAACAGCTTGCCTCAAATTGTGTAACCAGCGGCCTCATTGTCAGGTGCCGGCCCAATGTTGCAGGTGAATTTGTACCTTAAGTGTGACCATGCGGAGGTTTCCTGATTTAGGGGGTATCCCTAAATCATTCATTTCAACTCATTTTGATAGGATGTTCCATTATAGACGATCCATTTTGGGGTGCCATTTATGGAAACCTTCATATTCTGAGCCATAGCTGTTGTCAGGGCTTCGACTTTGTGTATCGAGAAAGCTCTCAAACTGCTGACTGCGTGCTTCGCAGTGGACGCGCTGAAGACGAGGTAAGACGATTGATTGGAAGGAAACGGCATTTTTTTGGTTCAAAACCCGAAATTCCCTAAATCCAGACTCTAATGTTTGGGAAATCTGGCAAAACAACCAGACACTGGCCAAGAATAAGCGATCAAGGATCACTATGCCACTATGTGAACCTTTCTTCAGTGGATTTCAAGTTTGTCAGGAGTGTAACGTCGGTGGAGTAGAGGGTGCTGCCATGGAGCCCTGGCTCCAGATTGGTGGCACCAATTTGGTGACCAAGGCGGGGCTGCTTGACGTAGTGTGTGATGATATGAATGCTGTGTGGTGATTTTATATGATGTATATGATTTTGTGAAAACTAGGTTGGAGCTGCCAATCGTTACGAGCTCATTGAAAAAATAGTGGAGAGGCCAGGAAGAATCGATCGAGATGAAGCGCAGAAAGAGAAAGAGAGAGAGAGAGAGCTTGTCCACACTGCTTTGGCGGATTATCATAGAGAGCTGTTTGCGTGCATTATTGTATTCGATCAAGAAACCGTGTTTTGTGCATCATGTGATTCACTTTGCCTTGCTTCCAAAGAGCTTTGATGCTTTTGACTGCTTGAAAGTCATTCTCCAAATGATGAGGCAGATGAATTGCAGCGAATGGCGAGAGGAACTTGCTGAGAAGATCCGCAAAGCAGAGATAACGAGCTTACAAGATTTGCCGTGAGCAAAAGAATTGGATGCTGCTAAACATTGTTAAACATCGCTAAACCATAAAAAGGACCAGCAAAGTGGTGTACCAACCAGCACAATGTGGTTTGCAGTCTTGGCCACCGTTGGTCACCGGTTGATCACCGATGCTGCAAAGTCTATCCTCAAAGGATTGCCCCACCAGTTTGCGCCATGGCAATAGACATAGCTTCGGGCGGCGTTGCAATGCAAGGCAGTTGGAACATGACCCTGTTGCATCATTTTGCATTCGCCTTGACTTGCTTTGTGGGGGAGGTGGGTCCTTTGAATGTCGACTTCTCACTCAGTGTCGCACATCAAGGTCCGACTTGCCAGCTTTTTTTGCAAAGTTGGATATGATTTGGTGTGCTGGAGTTTCAAACAAATGCACCACCACTGCTACATCATGCTACATCATTCTACATCCAAGGCATGAACATGTGCCAATATGTGCCAATATGTGCCAATATGTGCCAATATGTGCCAATATGTGCCAATATGTGCCAATATGTGCCAATATGTGCCAATATGTGCCATGTTCCACAGGACTTGCAGAAGAAGCTTCAGCAGGCCCCTGCCCTTGCTGCCCTTGGACGGGAACATGTCCGGACATGTCCTTGGTCATCTTGGTCGGTGCAGGCTGCGGAGAGCATTGAAGCCCTAGAATCCGAGCATGATGCTTTACTCCTTGAGGCCCTCTGAGCCTCTGGGAAGGTATGGAAACGTATGGAAGGATGCCACGAAGATCTGCACTTGAATGGTGGCATTTGATCTATCAGCCTGCCCAGAGCCTGCATTCAAGGCCGAAGAGACGGAGCAAGAGGCCAAGCATCTAAGATATCTTGATTTGACAGGAGGCTTCCAGGGCACAGAAGTGACATCTTCGGCTCTTGCAGCAGGCATTGCGCTGGCAGCATATTGCTTTGCAAGTGACTCGACGTCTTGTTGAAGGCCTCCCAAAGTCACAGCGTTGCAGAGAACGATTTGTTTCTCCACTAGCTACGACCAAGCCTTACCATCATCAGCCAGCAGAAAATTTAAAAAGCAAATCTTCATGGATCATCATTTGTTGATTCTGTGAAATTCATTCAAGTGATCAGCATGTGCTTTTGACCCATAGGGTTGCACTTCGCCAACCATCCATGTGTGCCGATATCCCTTTTACATATCAATCTGATCCATTAGCGGATCCCTTGCGCCATATTGCTGAGCAATGAGCGTCCGAGCCATTGCGTGAGTGACAAAAGACAGCGTCTTTGCATTTTCAGCTCTCTATCCGTGAAGCCTCACGAGTTGGTAGAGCGGAGCCCCGATCTGGGGCAGGCATGCCGAATTGGCCACTAGGAGCTCCATGCGAATCTCGAGCCCAATACGCCCCTGCTGTTGACCTTTTTGCTGATGACGATTTGAGTTTCGATGCCCCAGACTCTCTGCTAGACTGGTATGATGAGACTGAGAATGCCGAAGCTGAATCCCAACATGGTCCAGTATGGCAGTGCCTCCATTGTGGTAACGATCGATTCATTTGGAACCCTGGACACGGGAAGTCATCAGTTGGATGTTGGTCATGTGCAGCTTGTTTTTCGGATGAATACTTTGATACA